TCAATTAGCGAAGAACCAAGTTTATCATGCAAGGACGAAGCGCATTGATGTTCGGTATCATTTTGTACGAAAAATCATAGAAGAAGGTGGAGTCACAGTGAAGAAAATTCATACTACAGAGAATCCTGCTGATATGCTGACAAAGGTGGTGACTGCGATCAAGTTTCAACATTGTTGAACACTGAAGATTGAAGATGAAGACACAACCAAAATTTGTTACCGAGAGAAAATTGAAGATGTGGAATTTTGCCAAGGTGGAGATTTGTTGAATTATATGTCAAATTTTCATCCCACATCGGTGGGTTAAGGAGTTGGTGGAAAACTATTTCCTATAAAAGAAGGCTTAATGTTTAGGATTTAAACACACCTCTCATTTGCCTTCTCATCTGTTTAAGGCATTTGTATCTTCTCTCTTTAGTATTATTTCACTTGTATTTTTGGAGTGGAATAAAATATTGGTTGTGTCCGAGGAGTAGACAAAATTAGCCGAACCTCGTAAATTCTGGTATTTTTTTATTGTTGCTTTATTGTTTTATTTATTATTTGGTGACTATCATAATTTTTGGTATAGTAGTTGTGACTTATTCACACTATATACATTTGGCTTCCGCAACAGTGGCCACAGGTCTGTTTCCATTTTGAGTGCAAGTCAGTCAACTAATGGACTAAACACTTGAAAAATGATGTTCAAATTTTAGTGAGCTTCACCCACGACCGTTAGGTCCTGGGTTCGAGTCACACCGGAGGGAAAGTGTGAAAACACTATAGATCTTCTTAATTTTGGAAGGGTTAAAAAAAACAAGTTTGAAAATGAAGTCCAAATGTTTTTCCAACATAAACTATATTTTTGAACAGAATTAGGAGGCAAAAATGATGCTAGATATTTGATTAATTTAGATCTATTTCATCTACTCTCAGAAATAGTAAAAGCTTATTTCCTGGCTTACTCTCCCCTTCTGTTTAGTGCGAGAAATTAGGAATGGCAATGGGAAATCACAAAATCTATAACAAGTTGACATCAAAATATTTTTAAAAGATGTCTGAATTTATAACCTAAATCATGCTGGCACTGGTAGTCTAGCAACTGTGTCCTCTGTGAAATAAAAACACCAATGATACAATTGAGGTTGTGGTGGGATGAATAATTAAGATCTCTCCACCCTTAGTTAGACGACTTGGGTTCGAGCCTGTGTATGGATTAAATTCTAGTAGGGACCCTTTAGTGGGAATTAGTCGGGGTCGCAATGGGAATACTATAAATTGGGTGGGACAACAAGCAAAAAAGATAGAAAAAGGGGGGGGAAAAGTCAAACAAAACCTGCTCCGCTTTCCATATACCCTACAAGAAATGCCAAACTAGCTGTGTAATATAAAGACGGCTGCAGATAGTTACTATCCATTGTTCATTGTCAATAATTCTCCTGGTTACCTCTTTCTTATCTGTGCCTTGACGAATTTAGCCATTGGACTATAACTAAGAATAGCACTCTTTGACCCATCATTTAGATTTATCTACTAAATGCCCATCTCTTCTATGATTTGCTACTTTTACAGTCTAAGATCAATTGGACATGGCTACTTTTCAGAGAAACATGCTTTGAAAATTTATATGGTCAGTCAAAAATCAAGCACTTCTATCAACATCTCAATTAAAAACTTGTGACTTTATCTCCAGATATTTGTTTCATTTTGTTTAGTGTGTACGCAACTCCAAATTTCTGATCTTTCAAGCTTTAAGATTACAGATTTTAATGGCCAGTGTGAAAGAAAGATTAATCAAATGGATGACAACCTCAGAAAGAAACTCAAAGTTGACTTATCGTTCCTTCGTAAGATCTAGTGATGCAAAATCACCATCAGACAATGTTCTTGTTCAGAAGAAAATTCCACTTCGTTTCTGTAGCAAAGTAGGTGTGATGTTCCTGAAAAAATGGTTCTTAGGTTTCTATAAGTTAAAATCTTAGAAAGCATGAATATCCAATGACTTCAAAACACATATTTGTGAAGATACTTTTGCAAAGTGATATGGAGAAAGGTTGTATTCATCTTGCTCTTGGACTTTTGCTGCTTCAGCAAATGAATACTTGTTTGTCAATTGTTAATATCACTACTGATCAAACAACACTTCTTGCCTTGCGATCTCAATTTTCTTTATACGATTCCCACCACCTCTTGACTAGAAACTGGTCCACTTTTACCCCTACTTGTAGTTGGATAGGAGTTACTTGTGGCCCTCGCCACCAAAGAGTCACTGCCTTAAATCTTTCTAGTATGAACCTTAAAGGAATGGTTCCACCACAACTTGGAAATCTCTCGTTTCTCATTTCCCTCGATATCAGAAACAATAGCTTCTATGGGAATTTGCCAGAGGAGTTAGCTCGTTTGAGGAGATTGAAAATGATCAATGTCATGAATAACAACTTTACTGGTGCAATCCCATCATTTTTCGGCCTGTTACCAAACCTCCATTCCCTGTACCTTTCATTTAACCAATTTTCGGGTAATATACCTACATCCCTTTTTAATATAACAAAACTAAAGTATTTAAGACTACGAGGGAATTTTCTTGGTGGAGAAATTCCTCAAGAAATCAGTAGACTCTGTTGCCTGACTTCCATAGACCTGCAGGATAATAAGCTTATAGGCTCTATACCACCAACTATGTTTAACCAGTCATCACTTAAACAGATTGGTCTAACAAAGAACAATCTTTATGGGAAACTGCCTGGAAACATATGTGACAATCTTCCAAATTTAGAGGCACTTGCGCTTTCAGGCAATCGGTTTGATGGCTTGATTCCTCCAAATTTGCAGAACTGCTCAAAACTTCAAATATTATCATTGTCTCAAAATGATTTCACCGGAACCATACCAGCAGAAATCGGGAACTTAACTATGCTGACAGCACTGCAGCTTGGAGTTACCTACTTGAAAGGTATTATTTTCTTATGTCTCATCCAGCAATACATGCAACTGCTTTTCAAGCATATATTTTCCCTCGAAGCATCTAAAATGGGATTCATCAATTGCGCGTGCTATTTAGCTTCAAGAGATGTCTTTCTATTTCTCCACATGCATTTTGGATGTTCAGTTAATTTTAATTTTTGTCCCTTTTCCTCATTGTCGCTTCAATTAAATTCAGTCACTTGTGTGTTATTGAGTTTCCTTATTTGGCAGGTGAAATACCAATGGAGATTGGATATCTTCAAAAGCTCCAAATATTCGGATTGTATCAAAATAGGCTGAGTGGTTCAATTCCAGCAAGCATTTTCAACATTTCATCCCTCCAAATCTTGACCATTGTGGATTGTCAGCTTTCAGGGAGTCTACCATTAAATGTAGGCCAAGGGACACCAAATCTGCAAGAAATTTATTTGGGAATGAATAATCTCAGTGGCCTCTTCCCTTCTTCAATCTCTAATGCATCAAAACTCATTGCTCTAGACCTTTCAAACAACAGCTTTTCAGGCTCCATTCCTGATTCCCTAAGTAAGTTAGAATTCCTTCAACTTCTACAGTTAGGGCAAAACAAGTTGATCAACCAGAATCCCTCTTCAGAATTAACCTTCCTGACTTCACTTACAAGATGTCGAAATCTAAGAGAACTGGTCATTGGTCCAAATCCCTTGAATGGCATTCTTCCGGCTTCTATTGGTAATTTCTCGAGCTCTCTCAAAAGATTTTCTGCACCCGGGTGCAAACTCAGCGGCATTATACCAGAAGAAATTGGAAACCTAACAAATGTGATTAGCATACTTCTATTTGTCAATGATTTGACAGGGTTCATCCCCAAAACTGTTGGAGGTTTGCAGAAGCTTCAAAGGTTTCTTATACACAGTAACATGATAAGTGGGACTATTCCAGATGAAATTTGCTCTTTACAAAATATTGGAGACCTAGGTGTAGGGCAAAATAAAATTTCAGGTCCATTACCGTCGTGTTTGGGGAACCTTACTAGTTTGAGAAATCTTTATTTAGCTTCCAACAGATTGAACTCCAGTTTACCTGAGAGCATGTGGAGCCTTCAAGATCTATTGATACTTGATGCAGCATCAAATTCATTTTCTGGTGTTCTGTCTCCCATAATTGGAAATCTAAAGGCTATTACAAAAATTGAATTGTCATACAATGACTTTTCAGGCATGATTCCTAGCACGATGGGAGGTCTACAAAAAATGATTTATTTTTCTCTATCACACAACAGAATTGATGGCCCCATTCCAGTGTCTTTTGGGAAATTGTTAAGCTTGGAATTCTTGGATTTGAGTTATAACAATCTAACTGGTGAAATACCAAAGTCCTTAGAAGCTCTTGTGTACCTCAGATACCTTAATGTTTCCTTCAATAAACTCAGCGGAGAAATTCCATCTGGTGGTCCTTTCGCAAACTTCACCAATCAGTCTTTTGTGTCTAATCATGCATTATGTGGTGTATCAAGGCTCCAAGTGCCACCATGTCAAGTCAAGTCTCCGCGAAGGGCGAGGAGAAAAAGAGTACTTTTCTCGATCCTGTATAGTCTTTTGGGAATAACATCAGTATTTGTTGCATTAGCCGTTGGATTTCTTATTTTAAGAAGAAGAAATAGAAATGAACCATCAGGATTAACTGATCAGGTATCATCCATGAGGGCCTACGAAAGAGTTTCGTATTATGAACTTCAACAAGCAACAAATGGATTCAGCGCGGACAATTTGCTTGGTATTGGGAGTTTTAGCAAGGTGTACAAAGGGGTAAAGGACGGGATGACATTCGCAGTAAAGGTATTCAAACTGGAACATGAAGGTGCATTCAAGAGCTTTGAAACAGAATGTGAGATCTTACGCAACCTTCGCCATAGGAACCTGACCAAAGTCATAACTTCTTGTTCCCACTCTAAGTTCAAGGCCTTAATATTAGAGTACATGCCAAATGGCACCCTAGACAAATGGTTACACTCTCATGACTTATTCTTAGACATGTTGCATAGGTTGGACATAATGGTAGATGTAGCATCTGCCTTGGACTATCTCCATAACGGTAATTCAGAGCCAGTGGTGCATTGTGATTTGAAGCCTAGCANAATTCAGAGCCAGTGGTGCATTGTGATTTAAAGCCTAGCAACATTTTGCTAGATCAAAACATGGTTGGCCATTTAAGTGATTTTGGGATAGCGAAATTGTTAGGTGCAGAGGATTGTTTTAGTCAAACTAACACTATTGGGACCATTGGATACATTGCGCCAGGTACCTCAACTTCTTCTCTTATCTTTCTCGAATCATGATTCATCTATCAAACTAGTATGAAATACTTTAAACTGATGATTTCTAACTTGTCTTGCAGAGTATGGCCAAGATGGACTTGTATCAACAAGTTGCGACGTGTATAGCTTTGGTATTGTGATGATGGAAGCATTCACAAGGAAGAGGCCTAGTGATGAAATGTTTACTGGAGATTTGAGCCTAAAACAATGGGTAAACGACTCGCTTCCTTCTGGAGTTACACAACTAGTGGATGCAGATTTGATGAGACCAAAGAAAGAACCTCTAGATGCAGAGATGCAATGCTTGGTTTCTGTCATGGAATTGGCTTTAAGCTGCACTTCAGTGTCACCAGATGCAAGAATCAACATGAAAGAAGCTCTTTTGGCGCTCAACAAGATAAGACTTCAACTGGTCACCAAGCTGAACATTGAAGTAAGGCTGAATCCAGAAAGTTCGTTCCAATAGAATTTGGAGAAGGGCTTGTTATAATAAGAGTAGAATAAAGATAACAGGAAGCAACCTCTTGTTGCTGTCTGTAGGCCTACCTTATTTATTTGTTAGCAAGTCACCTTTATACTTCCACCATGTGAATTGATTAGCATTATTTAATAATTTGAAAGCAGGACTAAAGAAAGTTATGGTTAATGAAGTATGCAGAATGCACATTTGGAAACAGAAACATGACTCCAGTAATTAGCAGAACAGTTGGGGAAAAGAAAGAAATTACATAAAGCAAAAATACTTTAAAGAGGAATAATTTAGCTTGAAAACAACTCTGTACAAGAATAACATCCTTCTAGCTATATAGTCAATGACCATGACTAATCTAATCCATGGCATTAGGACCAAAACATCTTCTCCTGAGAGGGTTCCAAACCCATTGAACAAGAAACTTTCTCCCTTTCACTCCATGCAAATTGAAACCATTTCCCCAAGAATCCTTATACACTTGCCCAACAAATCCACCACCAGCACCAGTTCCATAGACACCTAAGCACAAATCAGCAATCTCAGTAGGTGCAATAGGATCATCCCCAGCATACCAAGCATTCACAAGAGGGTTACTTGAGACCTCAGCAAGCTCATGAGCTATCACACTGATCATCCCATCGACCCCCGGATCGCCATTTGGTGCCCCCATTAAGCTGTTTCCTCCATTTATTGTGCTTGGTGGTGGTTTCCCTGAATTCTTAGGCCAAGCAAAAGGATAAGCACAGAAACCAGGACATTGTTTCCCACTATAACCTACCCAAGCATATGGCACTGTCACTCCAAGAATTGATGGGAATGTGAAGTAATGAAAACCACATACAGCCCTACAAAATTCTTGAACTTGAACATCATAAGATGTTAACACTAAGTAAACTCCATTCCTATAATTCAAAGGTAGAGATTTTGGGTATGATCTGACTGCTTTTTTAATCACATATTGCATGGATAATCTGCTAAGGTACTTTCCTTGTGAGTAGTTGAAGTCAAAGAATTCACCAGAAAGTGAAATGGTTGAGATGTTTTGGCCAGTTTGATCTGTGTAGAGACGAACGGTTCGCCACCAATCAGCAACAGAAGGATGAGGTGCATAAGAAGAAGAAGAAAATGAGTTGAGAAAGTCTCTAATGGTGGCTTGATGAGAAGGGTTCCATTGGCCATACCATATTACATAAAGTTTAATAGGAGAAGAAAGAACAGGGCCCATATGGTATTCAAGATTAACAAGATCAGAAGAGCCTTCATAGTTCTTATTTTCATTGTATGGAATCCAAGAAAAAGCAACAAGTGAGAAGCAAGAAGAAGACAGCAGCAACAAGAATTGGAGATAATGAAAAAAGTGAAGCTTATTGTCCATCTCTGTTTGTCAGTATGGAGATAAAGGATTGCTTCTAAGAGGAGATTTCTTGGGATATATATAAAGGGAAGATTGATGAATATATGGGGAGATTGATACATCAGTTCGAGTCATGGGAGCAGCCACTAATGCTTGCATTATGGTAGACTATCTACATAGTATCCTTGAGGTCCGGCTCTACTTGTTCACTGGGATACCTTTATTTTTATGGAGAGATTGATAGATAGATTGGATTCTCACATTACTTTTATATTCTTTCTTTGGAAGGAGACAATGGAAAATCGAAAAGCATGTCAATATAATTGATTTGCTGTATCATAATATCATTGTTTACTTTGTTTTAATGATGGCCATGCATGTTACTAACTTACTACCTCTTTTTCTTTATTCCATCTAATGCCTAAGAAAATGGTAGTTGTCCCTCTATGTCTAACCAACCTTTAATAGATTTTGTACCAGAATTTATATACCGATTCTGGTAAACGTTGGGATCTGCAACGAAACATTTGTTTACATTTGTTAAAATCTACACATATCCATTGATTGTATACAAATCTCACATGGTTTTACCAGGCTTCCAGACTACTCCTTATCTTAAAGTATTGGACAAAATCCTCATAGTTTTTCACGAGGAGTCATCGGACCCCGTTAATCCTGGCAAAAGTTATAAGTGCATATATATTGGAAACGATTATATATTTTGTCTGAAACTCTTAAGATCGATGGTGCACTGGTTGAGCAGTTTGCTCACGTGCCTCGCCACCTTGAAAAGCTTGGGTTCGCCTTTGATTTTATGCACGGCTTGTGAAGAAAATGTAACCAGGCCAGAATCAAAATCATTCTCGTTAAATGTTATTTTAAAGAAACAAATTGACTTATTAATCAGATAGTTTTGCCAATAGTAAAGGCATAAAAGGTGGTAACATAAACCAAAAGTTGAGTCAAAATCATAAGTGTGAAACCAAATGATGGATGTGTCACTGTGTTAAAGCAAGCATGTTATTCTCATTTTGCCTTGTTTGTAAGGTAGTCATTATTCCTTTGTCAATGTCTTTGACAATTTGTTTCCCCCCATCCTAGGAGAAATGTCATATTCACACTTTATATATGGTGGAGTACCATGCATTGACATACATCTACTCCCCATTTTTCGACTTTCAACTGAGGCAATTGTCAAAAGGTTATAAAAGAATAATTTACCATTTTTCACTTACTATTTCCTGATTTGGCCCTATCTATCATTAATTGGGAAAAAGTGGAACTTTTCACTTTGGAGAACAATCATAACCTTCACTTTTTCTATTGCATAAAAGCTCAACCTCTAAATTTATTACTCCCCGTTTCAATTTATGTGAACATATTTTCTTTTTAGTCCGTGCCAAAAAGAATGACCTCTTTCCTTATTCGGAAATAATTTATCTTTACACAATGATTTATAGTCACACAAAATATATGTGCCTCATTTGACACTACAAGATCAAAAGTCTTCTATCTTTTCTTAAACTCTGTACCCAATCAAATGGATTCACATAAATTGTAACGGAGGGAGTATGACATTTGGTTGTAGCAGAAAAGTCACTTAATTATATTTTTGAAATTTTCGGTAGTCAAATACCTATTTTACCCTCTAAATTATTAACCTTCATTTTGTAATGCCTTTTACATATTATGGTTTTTTTTTTCTATTTACTCTATATTATGTACCTATAGAATAAATAAATTTTATTTAAAAGGGAAATGACTTAATTTAATTTTTTTTTTAAAATAGCATATATGTATTCACCAAATCTAATTTCGACATTTATTTAGAACGTCTTTTCTTCATACATCTCGAAATTTTGAGTATACTTTTGCATACATTCCCTGGAGAAAGTTTCAATACATACTCAAAATCATCTTTGATTTTTATATGTATATCTAAGAGAAGTTATTGTCACGATCCGAAATTTCCAGCTTCGGGAGCGTGATGGCGCCTAACATTTCACTTGCTAGGCAAGCCAACGTTACAATAATATTAGCCATTTTTAACAATTTTAATTTAATTAATAACAAAGAAATAAATGTGAAAATAAAATCTGAAATAAAGTGAATAATCCATAATAATAGCGATGTCTAAATACCATCCCAGAACAAGTGTCACAAGTGTATGAGCTACTAGAATAATACAAATAAAGGTCTGAAAGAAAATACACAGCCAAGATAAAGTAGAAGGGGACTTAATAACTATGAATGTCGTGCAACTATACCTCAAGTCTCCTGTGAATAGCTGAATCCGAGCAAGTCTATTGTGCGATGCTAGGACCAACTCTGATATCTGCACAAGAAATGCAGAGTGTAGTATGAGTACAACCAACCTCATGTACTCAATAAGTGCGGAGCATAACCTCAACGAAGTAGTGGCGAGACTAAGACATGTCACTTACATTAACATAATAATAATAATAATAATAATAATAATAATAATAATAATAATAATAATAATAATAATAATAATAATAATAATAATAATAATAAAAAAACAAGAATAGAAATTAAACAGGTAAATCATATCAACAATTGAAGCCAACTCAGTAGTCATAATCAATTATTACTTCAATCAATTTCCATTGCGGCGTGCAACCCGATCCAACAATATATTCACATTCAATTTTATTGTTGCTTGCAACTTGATCCCACAATATTTTATTTTTATTTAATTCCGTTTCAGCATGCAACTCGATTCTCAATATATATTATTCAATCAATTATGTTGCGGCGTGCAACCCGCTCCTCCAATATGTTCATATTCATTTCCGTTGCGGCGTGCAACCGCTCCTCCAACAATATAATTTCTCAATGCTTATAAATAAAATTACTTCAATAAATGCAACAATTAATATGAAATTATACGGCAACAAAGCATAACATAATTATGATTTATTTAGAAAACAAGTAACAATTAATTGTGGAAATTAAGGAGGAAATATGCAATTTAATATTTAGTATGTTAAATGTCAAGTAGCAATTAAGTCACATAAATCAAATAAATATATAGCAATTATAGCATGTATTCAAGACATAATATTGAGCAAGGAACATGAGAGAAATAATTAATATGATAATTAATTGATGATTTAAAATAATTTATGATTTTCAGATAAATATGCAACAATCAATTTGACGACGTATAGGCACTCGTCACCTCACATATATGTCGTTACACATGAAATTCATGCAACAAATAATTTAAGGGTCTATTCCCTCGAGTCAAGGTTAACCATGACACTTACATCGCTTCGCAACCAAATTCAAGATTCTAATAAACCTTTGCCTCGTGAATTCATGTCTAAAAGCTTAATCTAGTCACAAACAATTAAATATACTCAATACGAATCGTAGGAATTAATTCCATATGAATTTACTAATCTTTCGTATTAAAATCCGAAATTTATTTAAAAATCGACAGTGGAACCCACGTCTCGAATCCCAGAAAAACTCACAAAATCCAAATACCCATTCCGATTCAAGTCCAACTATACAAAAATTATCAATTCCGATGTCAAATGGACTTTCAAATCCTAAATTTTTGTTTTTGAAAATTTTTACAAAAATTCCAATGTCTTTCATCTAAATCCGAAATAAATGATGAATATTAACATAGATTTATGAAATATAATGACTTTTAGATATAGAATACTTACCCAAATCAAAATCGTGAAAACCCCCTTTGGAATCGCCCAAATCTATGCTTAACATGTCTAATAATGAGAAAAATCTCGATCTCTTCGATTTAGACATTGTCCAGGGATTTTAGGGTGGATGCGCCCTTCTGCGGAGAAGGTTGTCGCTTCTATGGGCAGTCTCGCTTTTACGGACAAGAGTCCGCTTCTGCGTACTCACTTTTGCGGGGGAGTTGTCCGCTTCTGCGATCACTAGCTTCCCTTCTTCCGGTTTGCATCTGCGATGGCTCAAGCACTTCTGCGAGCTTGTACCTACGGTCAATAATCCGCAGGTGCGATTGCACTAGAAGGCCAAAATTCTAGATTTGGCTTAAATCCAAAATTTGATCTGATTTCTATCTGAATCACTCTCGGGGTACTCGAGACCCCGTCCTAATATATCAACAAGTCCCGAAACATAATACGAACTTACTCGGGGTTTCAAATCACGTCAAACAATGTCGAAACTACAATTCACACCTCGATTCGGACTTATGAGTTTCAAGCTTTAATTTACAAAACTCGTGCCGAAACATATTAAATGAATCCGGAATGAATTCAAATTGGAACACAAGTCATAAATGACATAATGGATCTATTCTAATTCTTGGAATCTCAATCCGAGTCTGATATCAATAAAGTCAAATCCGTGGTCAAACTTTGGAAACCTTTAGCCTTTAGATTTCTAGTTTCCATTAAATGACGATAATTTGAGCTAGGGACCTCCGAATTCGATTTTGGGCATACACTCAAGTCCCAAATCACAATACGGACCTACCGGAACTGTCAAAACACTTATCCGAGTTTGTATGCTAAAAATATTGACCAAACTCAACTTAGTTGAGTTTTAAAGTTCTATTTCACATTTTAATCTATTTTTCACATAAAAACTTTTCGAAAAATTATACGAATCACACACGCAAGTTGAGAAATGATGAATAGTGCTTTTTGAGGTCTTAGAACATAGAAATGAATGTTTAAATTAATGTTGACATTTTGGATCATCACATTCTCCACTTTTAAAACAAACGTTCATCCTCAAACGGAATTAGAAAAGTACATGAGCGGGTGAAAAGGTGTTGATATCTACTCCACATGTCCGACTCGTACTCCCAGGTAACTATCTCAATCGGCCGACCTCTCCATTGCACCCGAACTGAAGGATAACTATTAAACCTCAACTATCGAAGTTGCTGGGCTAAAATAGCTATCGTCTCCTCCTCATAAGTCAAATCATTGTCCAATTGGACTGAGCTGAAATCTAATACATGGGACGAACCACTGTGGCATTTTCGGAGCATGGATACATCGAATATCAGATGAACTGATGATAAGCTAGGTGGTAGTACAAGCTTGTAGGCTGATTCCCCACCCTTTCAAGAATTTCAAAAGGTTCAATATACCTAGGGCTCAACTTGCCCTTCTTTCCGAATCCCATTACACTTTTCATAGGTGAAACCCGAAGCAATACTCTTTCTCCTGCCATGAATGCAACGTCACAAACATTATGGTCAGCATAACTCTTTTGCCTAGACTGAGCTGTGTAAA